AAAACCAGATCGTGCCTAAAATCTTTTTCTGCTATAATAAGCAATGGGATGTTCTGCATTGCCATTCCCAATCTGTGCCAATATTGCTGATATGGCAAGTCCTGACACATCGCACTGCAAAAGGAAAGCCTTGCTGCATATGATGATATAGTAAATGGATCAATACATCACCAGGCAACCACAATACCTGCAATCAGGATAAGATAATATAGGCTCCTTGCACAGCTCAGGCTTTAGTTCTTCAAAGGCATTCTGCTGCTCGGCACCCCAATTCATCCGCTCCGACTGCTTTAGAAGTTTCGTAAGTGGCAAGGCCCTTTCTGCAAATTTGTTGATAAATCTTTGATAATAGCCAGCTAGACCAAGAAAGGCTTTAATCTGCATCGAGGCATTAGAGTTCCAAACACACAAAGGAGAACTCGTGTATGGTTAGTTTCAAGCATTAAATATATTATAGTAAGGGGCACCGGAACAAAAAGAAAAGGAAAAAGAGTGCTCCCTGCACACACCAATCGTGCTAGATCCGTTCCACTTCTGCCACGCTCATGCCTCCTTAGAGTTCCTAGCGCTGAGGACTTCCACGCCCTCAGGAAGAGGAAACTCCTTCACTGCTGATATTTTCTCAGGATCCGGAGCAATTCCTTTGCCAGATACCACATGTCCAAGAAATTTAATTTCCCGCATGAAGAAGTGACATTTCTTTGGCTTAATCTTCAGACCTGCTGCTTTCAATCTGGAAAATACCTTTATGAGGTCTGAGATGTGGCTACATACTCCCCAAGAATAGACATTAACGTCGTCTATATAGACAAGTGATGGTTCCCATCTGAGTGTACCGAGGACACAGTCCATAAGTCTTTGAAAAGTTGCACTCGCGTTACATAGCCCAAAAGGCATGCTTTTGAACTGGTACAAACCATCCCGGCATGTAAAAGCTGTCTTTTCCTTATCCTCTTCTCTCATAGGCACTTGCCAAAATCCAGATGCTAGATCAATTGAGGAAAACACCTGAGTTACAACACATAAGTACCAGCATACCTCTCTCTTAGACATCTACCTGTCCACCAGCAAGCTGGTTGAGTGTATCATCTATTCGCGGTAGTGGATAAACATCACGCTTAGAAATGGAGTTCAACTTGCGATAATCAATGCAGAATCTGGTTGTGCCATCCTTCTTCTCGACGAGAACCACTGGCGATGCCCAGGGTGATGATGAAGGCTCAATTACATCAGCATCTAACATTTTCTTAATTTCCTCAGAAACAATCTTCTGCTGTTTGGGAGTTTCACGGTATGCATGCTGTTTGATAGGTCTGCTTGAGGAAGTATGGATCTCATGATGAAGCATATCAATTTTGCCCAGGTCAAGAGTTTTAGTACTAAAAATCTCCCGATACTGCTACAGCAACTCATCAAATTCAGAAACGAGATCCGTACCTGAGAGCATATCTCCAACTTTTAGTTCTCCTTTTATCCTCCCAAGGAATTTTAGAGTCTCCTCATCTAGTGGCAGCTTTTCTGACGACATAAAGCTTGCTCCCCCAACATAATTTTTGTATGGTTCTGGCAATCCAAGAGCATCCAGGCCATAAGCAGCTGTATAGCACACAATGTCTGAGATATCTTCGCATGCTGCCTCGGCTATAGGATCACCCTACTTGACATTCACTGTGGAGGTTGTCAAGTTTGCCATAAGGATGTCAGGCTTTTCCTTATATGTAGAACTAATTATTCCATTAGCTACTGACATGCCTCGCTGGAGTGCCTGATATGAGGACCACAAGTGTATGAACGTTCCCTTGCAGCAACAAATAAAGAATTGTGTTGGGACAAATGCCTATATATACTGGGCATGAATACATGCAGCATGGAACAAAACAAATTGAATCATAACCTGTGACATAGGAGGAATCGTAATGTCTTTGTCTGCTTTTAGTAGCACCACCTTTTGATCAACCAAAAATACTTCGTTCGCAACTACCTCTGCAAAGCAGCTTGTGAGGCAACATCAATCTGGATGTCATATTACCTTTGCATGGCTCTTTCCACAGATACATCCCTAGCTTGATTGGAGCAAATGTTCTAAATTCAAAAGTGCAATGAAAGGCTTTGCGTGAAGATTCAGGTTTAAGCAGAACCCCCAACTTCACAGGTTTGTGACCATCGGAGAAAGTGAGTTGCCTCTCCCTTATTTCAATCTTCGCACCTACAGAATCCATCCAATCAAGTCCCAACAGTGCTGCATCTGCACATGTGACTATACATGTCATCCTTACTGCTGTGTCCCCAACCTTCAGATCAAGGTCGACTAGACCTCGAGGTGTATATAGCTCATCGTTGGCCTTGCGTATACGTATGTGATGACAGGGGCGTACTACGTTGGAGGCCTCGGTTACCCACTTTTCTGGCACTGTCGTCACTTCACAGCCTGTGTCCACCACGGCCACCACTCTCTCTGAGAAATCTAAGCTCAACCACAGAGATAACGAATTGATCTTCTTTTCATCCACCATATCACAACCACAACGAAATCCTGTGACTGTAGAAAGAAAGGCAGTGGCTTCTACTACTCTTAAGTCAGGGTATCCATTATCTGCGTCTGACCCCTGCCCAAGCGCAAGCTCTAGTTTAAATTCTCTTCTGAAGACTTTACTTTAAGTGCCTCAACTTGCTGGTTCAGGTCATTGTAATGCTTCTCTAGGTCAGCAATGTAGGTACAGTCATGCTGAAGGTGGCCCTCTTTCCCACAAGTGTAACAGCCAGTCCTTTTGCTAGGTCGCTTGTCCCTTTCCCCACCAGCAGGTGCCGACCGCTTGACACCGCTACTTGCCCTGGGACCATAGGTATATCTGTTTTTCTGAGACCAGCTACCTCTAGAAAAAGTTTCACCTCTCTTGGCATCATAGTGGTAGTCCTCTTGCTCTCCTGATTCATCACTCTCTTGTATCTATGGCCGAGCAGCACGTGCTGTAACTGCTTTGGGTTTCCACTTTTTCAACGCTTCTGCTGCTGCAGAAAGCAACTTGTCCACAGATCTTGTTTTTGCTATGATCAGATAAGGTTGCAGATCCTTAGGAAAGCCCGATAAAAGGCTTGGTTCGCCATCCTCTCTGCCTTGTCAATGTCATCAGAGATATATGTGGCTACCCGTCGTAGAACAGCCCAATATTGCTGCACAGTTTCCCCCTTTTGATAATTCCTTGTATTGATAAGTTCAAATGCTCTATCCTCTGGATCCCCGATGATGAAGAGCCTCCTGGCCAAAGCTATGGCCTCATCCCAAGATACCATTTGATCTCGAGCATAGTGCGTGATAAACATTCTCTGCACCTCTCCCGAGGGAGCCATACAGAAAGCATTTATCTTTTCATGGCCTGTCACCTGATTGTTATAAGCTGCACATTCATACACATTGAGGTAACTATTGAAATCATCTCCAAGTTGGAATGTGGGATACTTCAGCCTAGCCGGGTGTGGAGCCTCCCCCGTGAAGAGAGCTCGCTTGCCAAGACTTGAACTTCTAGTGCCAGTGAGATTACGCATCATCTCGGGACTTTTGAGAATAGCAGAAACCACCGTTGCAAGTTGGTCCTCTGAGATATCAGGTACAGGAGAATTCCCAGCTTGTGTTCTAGGCAGCTCCTCACTCGCATTTCTCATTTCTTCCATCAGGAAACCCTTGTGAGCCATATTTGCCTCCATAGTTTCCATGCAAAAATAACCTGCCACACCACCAATCATGGTGAGACTTGCGCATGGGGTGTTTCTATCGACATCACTTTCACTTTCCAGTAATGCCCTTGGCATCCTAACTGAAAGTCTCCGATGCCACAGAAGCCTCTCATCGACTCTACTTTGCTCAAATTAGCAACCTTTTGTGTTGCTCAATTTAGCATCATCAAGCTTCCCGCATGGTCCGAGAATGAAGGACAGCCACACACTGCTCATGGGAGCATTCTGTAATGTGGCATGCCCCTCATCTCCACCAAAACTGGACCCGTTTTCATTCATGGACTCATGCGCTCACAGCCACAAAGCCTCAAAGAAAATACACCTTTCTAGTCATAGCGTCTGCCTAACACCCCACGTGCTCAGACTCCTCCACACCTCCGAGGAATCAATCTCCCTCCGCCCCCAACCTCAAGATGTCCCACCACGTAAGCTGTTTGCCAAGAAGCGCCACCTGTTATGTGATAGAACCAAAAACTAGAAAAAGTTAGGGTTAGGGTTCGACAGAGGATTCAGTTAGGGCTTCACTAACTGGTCACTGATTCAAACGGGACACCTTAACATATTTTACAGACCTATCTTGTGACTGAGATTTGGATTTTTTAAAATTTTCTGACCATGATCAAGAAAAGCCCAAAATTTGAACTTGCTTGTTATTTCTCATAACCTTTACATTTTAGCAATTGATTTTTTTTCACAAATCTTAGAAAACAAGAGTCCACTACATAGGAGGAGGATTACATTACAAGTAACTTTCTAGTTGATCATCTAGTAGTTCTTCCGGATCTTGCATTGGCTCCTAGTCTTGACTTCAATGAGGAGGCTCATCTTCACCATGGCATTAGGAAATTATTGGAGTTTTGTTCAAGGCTTGTGTTTGAGAGTGTTCCATATAGTGTTGGATCGAGAGCTCAAGAACTATCCACCTGTTGCAAAACTGGAATAGAAGCTTTAGAGCATGTCTAAATTTAGGAGACAAATGCTGCTGAGAAGGAGCTTGAGATGCTCTCCTCTCTAGTTTCTATATAATTTTCTCAGTGATCTTTGCTTCCCTTGCCTTGCCAGATATGGTGGCCAATTTCAATCCCTCCTCTCTTTCTAGCAATTACCAAAATGGTGGAATGAATTTCCAGCTTATAGATTATCACAAGCACAATCAAAATGTGCCATGGATTCTCAACCAGGCTGATCACCCGGGCGCTCATGATTGATGAGGTTGAGCATGAGCCTTGGAGATCTGCAGGTGAGGATGACAAGCTAGGCAATCTGGACATGGAGCAGCAGCTGTCGATCAACTACAACTTCATGCAAATGCAATTGATCTTTGGAGTAAAGGGCAAAAGTGATGACCTAACCAAGATGTCGCTTCTGGGTAACTGCTAGAGCATGGAAGATCTATCCCCCTGGAACCATTCGGCTGCTTTTTCTGAGGATCACCACAAGCAAGGAAACGGTTTTTACTCCCATATGATCACAGTGATACATTCGTAAGCCGATCCAAATAAGAATTGAGAGCCACATTGAGCATGGTGGAGCCATGGTACTGGAAATTAATAAGAATATAACAATCTTTCCACCTAAGCTAGAGAATCCTGTGAGGGATGCTTTAATCAAAAGCTGGATTCGACAAGTTTTCTCAGGCAAATAGGGACTGTGCAATTGGACTATGATTCATGGTGTTCCAATTCTACCAGTAATCACCGCAAGAACACGCGCCACCCTCAAAGTGATGAAACCTCACCGTGTCTCTCACCACGATTCTTCTCCCCGCAACCTTGGAGATGAACTTGGTAGCCGTGTGACAATCCTGGCACACCCTCAAGTTCTTCACCACATTGATTGTCGACAAAGGTGGCGACGCGATCAACCCAAGCGCGATCGCCAGCTTCTCGCTGTGGTAGCACAGCATCTCCTCTTTCTCCTCTTCTTCCACGTCGTGGAGGATGGATTTCCGGTCGGGCTGGTACCCGGCCTCCCGGATCGCCACCCCAATCCTCCGGAGCTCCGCGTAGATCTCCTCTCGTCTCGGGTGGTCCGTGTCGCCCACCGTGAATTCGTGCACTGTGTCGTGGATCTGGATGGAGCTCCGCCCGGGGAGCCGCTTGATCCCGCGCTCCTCCATCGCCCTCTTGATCCTGGCAGCCCTGGATCGCATCCCCGCTGCCTCGTAGAGATTGAGCAGCTGGACGAAAGCTCCTGCGTTCCCGGGCTCCAGCTCCAGGATCTTCTCCGCCGCCGCCTCGCCGCGAGCCACGTCGCGGTGGATCCGGCAAGCGCCGAGGAGGATCGTCCACGCCACGCAGTCGGCTTGGAAGGGCATCGATCGGACGAGGTCGTCGGCGAGCTCTATCTGGCCGCCGCGGCCGAGGAGATCGACCATGCACACGAAGTGGTCCACGAATGGCGCGACGCCATAGTCGGGGATCATCGAGAGGAAGTAGCGCCGCGCGTCGTGGAGGCGGCCGGCGTGGATACAAGCTGACAGCACGGCCAGGAGCGCGATCGCGTCCGAGGCACAGCTCCCCTCGAGCTCCAGCGATGGGAAGAGATTGATCACGGCTATGGCGTCGCCCGAGTGAGCGTATGCTCCAAACATCGCTGTCCAGAGCACCACGTCCTTACGATTGATCCGATCGAAGAGCTCTCGGGCCTGGATCGATCGCCCACACTTGCCATACATGTTGATCAGCGCGGTGGCAACGAGGAGCTCATCTTCCAGCCCCGCCGCCACCGCCTCGGCGTGGAGGAGCCGCCCCTCGCGCAGCGCCGCGCCGCTCGAGCACGAGTCCAGCGCCGCCGAGAAGCACAGCCGATCGGGGCGCGCGCCATCGAGATCCATCTCCGCAAAGAGGGCGATGGATCTCTTCCACAGTCCGTTGTGCGCGAGCGCGTTAATCATCGTGGTCCACGACACGGGGCTTCGATCGGGCATGGCGGTGAAGACCTCCCTGGCGCGATCGATCTGGCCGGACTGGGAGAAGGCCGCGAGCAGCGTCGTCCAGGATACCACGTTGTGCGCTGGCATTCGCGAGAAGATCCGCGAGGCCTGTCCGGGCGAGCTCCAGGACGCCTGGATCATCAGGTTGTGGGTCGCGATGTCTCGCTCGGGGATCTGATCGAGCAGAGCTATCGCGAGCGCGCGATTCTCCGATTGGACCGCGCCCTGGATCAGCGAGTTCCACGCCACGATGCCGTGATGGGGCATTCGATCCAGCACCGCGCGGCCCCGCGCAACATCCCCATCCGCGGCAAATGCTGTCAAGAGAACCGTCCACGCGATGTAGTCACGCTCGGGCATCGCACTGAAGAGTGCAATCACGCAAGTGAAATTTTTGATCTTGGCGTAAGCTACCATGATTGAAGTCCAGGCCACCACATTCCTCTCCGGCATTCGATCGAACAAGCTCTTCGCCCGACCAAACTGCCCACACTGGGCAAATGCTTGGATCATCGCGTTCCAGCTTAGAACATCGTTTTGTGGAACGCGATCAAACATCGCCTTGGCTTCATCGATCCGGCCGATCTGTGCGTGCGCAACGAGCATTGTGTGGCAGCTGATCGAGTCCGGCTCCTCGATCGCCACGAAGATCTCGCTCGCCTTGTCGATCCGGCTCTCCTGGATGTAGCCGTGCATCACGAGATTGCAAGAGACCACGTCCTGCTGTGGCAATCGATCAAACATCTCCCTGGCCTCGAGCAGCTGCCCAGTCCGGGCATACGCCGCGATCATCGAGTTCCACGACACGAGATTCCTCCGCGGCGCAGCATTGAAGATCTCCCTCGCCTCTGGTGTTCTTCCGCCGTGGACGAGCGCTGCGATCATGATATTGCCGGTGTAGAGATTGGGATGCTTGATCCTCCGGAAGGCCGATCGCGCGTCCTCCACACTGCCACATTTGCCATACATCTGGACGAGCAAATTGCCAAGGAACGTGCCAGTGTCGAGACCGGTGTCGATCAGCTGCGCGTGCAATCGCCTGCCCTCCTCCAGCGCCCGGGCGATCCCACATTGCCGGAGCCGCGGGGCGAATTCGTGGAGCGCAATCGCGTCGCCGGGGCATTTGCTCATACGCATCCATAAACCCCAAACTTAGGGTTCTTGGAAGGCGGTGAGAGCTGCCATGGCGACGAGCGCGCCATCGTCGGCGAGGCTCACCGTCTCGTCGTGCACATTCTTCGATCGATCGGCCAGGAGCTCCGCAATGCGGGTAAGAGCTTCGATCGCAGCAGCAACGCCTTATTCTTCAAGAGCAGTGCATGAGGGCGGTAGAAATCCTTTGGCGCTGTTCGAGAACATCATGCGAGAGGTGAGGCCATTGCCGACGATCTTGGAGGAAATGTGGAAGATGCTAGCTCCAGAAAAGCAGCTCCTTCGATGGAGAAGGAATGCGGGGGTTTTCAGCGACTTGCCAGGGTCCAGGAAGGGATTTCTAGGCGCAGGGATTATAGATGGATCAGGGAGAAGAATTCCCGGTGGTGGTTTGTTGCTGAGAGGAACCAGACGTATCAATCGTCCCTTCGACTATCTCCGCGTTCCAAACATGACTTTTCCCAAGCGAGAAAGGAAGAGGAGGTATTTCTCCAAGAAGCTCGAAGAGAAGGAGTCGGACAAAGGGTGGCATCCCGAGCTATGCACGTATGAGAGTGAGTTTGCCAAGCAGCATGCGCTCTACTTCTACAACCTCTTGGCATTTCCGTGGGAGAAGGGAGCGTTTGAGCGCTTCGTGGATAAGTTGGAGAGGAAGTATTTCCCAGAGGATCACATCGATGCTTTGGTTCCACCGCTCGACAAGGAGCCCAAAGCGAAAGCTGGGAAATCCAACAAGGACAAGAAACTTTCCGCATGGCCATCTTCTGCTCAAAGCTCGTCTTTCGAAGCTTATGCGGCTGATGCGTCTGTTGAGAACGTCGAAGACACTTCTCCAACTCGTCCAGCTTCCGGTTCCATTGAGATTTCTCCAGATGATTGGGAGCCCGAGGCGAGTTCTCCTGACACTTACGCCGAGGCTGTTTCTGATGAGAAGCCAAAGAGGAAAGCAGCCGATACTTTAACTCCAAGGCCACCTGTGATAACTCGAACCGTGAATTTGCCGGAAGAATGGGACGGGCCTCTTGGAACTGTAGTGTTGATAGACAAGCCTCATGGTATGCGCTTTTCTACCTGGATCAATCACTCATGCCGTGTTTCTTTGTGTTTTTCAGGCTGGACATCATTTTCCGTGTGTGCCAAGCTCCGTAAGCTTCTCAAAATTAAAAAGGTCCACGAAGTCAATCTTTTTTTTCTTCCGTGTAACACTTCGTTTTTTACAGGTTGGTCATGCTGGGACACTTGATCCTATGGCGACTGGCCTTCTTATAGTTTGCGTTGGGAAAGCAACTAAATTCACAGATAGGTGAGCATTTCTTCGTGTTTTCAAAGCTCTTCTTACTAGCCAATTGTTTTCTCAGCTACCAGGCGATGAAAAAGTTTTATTCCGGAACGCTGCGTCTTGGAGAGGCCACACCGTCTTATGATGGAGACACATTGGTCATTTTTCATTTTTCTCTTGCGTTTTCTTCTCGTTGTACTTAGCTCGGTCCGGCAGGTTTCTGAGAGGATGCCATGGGAGCACGTTACTGACGAGGACATGCAAATAGTTAAAGAAGAGTTCGTGGGCACAATAAGGCAAGTCCCACCTCTATATTCCGCTCTTAAGGTAAACGGACGCACCCACCACTCCATTTATCTAAAGCATACCGCTTTGTATATTCAGGTTGAGGGAGAAAGGCTCTACGAGAAAGCACGTCGAGGAGAGACATTTCAAATTCCTCCCAGAATAATCAGCATTGAAGAGCTACAAGTCGAACGCGATTCTATTGACAGGTAGGCTTGGCTGATGATTGAGCAGTGTAAATCCGTGTTGCAGGCAAAATTTCCATTTCAAAGTCGCCTGCTCCAAAGGAACGTATGTCCGCAGTTTATGTTATGATCTTGGCCGTGCTCTCAACACGTAAGTTTCTACTTCATGTCACAAGGTTCACGTGTTGAGATTTCTCTTGCTGCAGTTGTGCACATCTCGTCGCGTTGCGCCGGGACAAGATTGGTAATGGCTGTTTTTTCGCTTCCTTGGCTCTTGAAATAGAAATGTTCTTTCTCGCAGGGGAATTCTCAGTTGACGACGCCTGGACATTTTCCGAGCTGGGGAGTAACTTTGCAGACGATTTTTTGGGAAGAGCGTGCTCAAAGACTCCCCCCATCACTGTGACGAACATGTCGCTTGAGGACGCTTGGGAGTTCCCGGAGCTCCAAGAAAGCCGAGGCGACGATGACGACTTCTAGGTTCGTTTTTGAGCTGGTTTGGCTGTAACAATGTCGTGCAGTAAAACAAACCCACACATTTCACTGGACTGACCGTCACTGTACTGTTTAGTTTTGGCGTCCCGTGTCGCCACGCGTGAGACGGGGTGAATATTCTCGGCTCGGATAGGACTATCCTACTCCTTGAGCTTTACTTTTACGACAACGCGCATCTATCGGAGTCACAGAGCGAAGCCGGCGGCCTGTTCCTTTTCTCAAATTGTTAGTAAGTTGGTATCTCGCGTGCACCATGTGCAAGTTTTTGTGCTCCAAATCGGTACCTTTGCGCTTGCTGAGAGCCGAGATCTGAACTCTTCCTCTTGGTTTTTTTTTGTGCAGAATGAGAAGGGGAAGATGAATGCCACCGAGAAGCCGGAGAAGCACAAATACAAGCTATGCGGATGCATCGGTAGGAGCTTCAGGATGACATCCCTGTCAGCCCCAAAGGATGTCGAGGATATTTTTGTCAAGTACGCGCAGAATGGCATCATTGGGGCTGCGCAGTTGCAACAGTTCTTGGTAGAAGTCCAGGGCGAGAAAGACGCGACTCTCAAACAAGCCGAGGAAATTATAGCTGCCCAGCATCGTGAAAGTCATGTCATCCATGTCTTGCATCGGCAAGGCTTCAACCTCAACACGTTTCTACAATATCTTCTCAATCCTCAACTCAATCCTCCGATCAACCTCAGCGTAAGTGTCCATGATGTTACCTCTGATGTTACCAAGTCTTCCTGCTTTGCAGGTCCACCATGACATGACCAAGCCAATGTCACATTACTACATTTCTACTGGACACAATTCTTACCTGACTGGGAACCAGCTGAGCAGTGCCTGTAGCGAGGTGCCAATTATCAAGGCACTTCAGAAAGGAGTACGTGTCGTTGAGTTGGATCTTTGGCCGAATGAAGATGCGGAGGACAAGGTCAATGTTCTTCATGGGCGGTACGTTCTTCGTTCTTTGTTCGTGGTTGTCATTGTTTGTTTCTTGCTTTCTGTTTGCCGAGCTAAACTTTGGGATGAAAACAGGACACTTACGACACCAGTGGATTTCGAGAAATGCATAGTCGCAATTAAAGAGCACGCGTTTGAAGCATCAGAATTCCCCTTGGTTATAACTTTGGAAGATCATTTAACTCCTGCACTCCAAGCCAAAGCTGCAGAGGTAAGATCCTAGAACATACATTTTGTGCTGGCCGTAAACTGATTGCCTTCAGATAATCACGCGAAACTTAGGAGACCTGCTTTATCTTCCCGATGCACAGACGACTTGCATTGAATTTCCATCGCCTGCGTCGCTCAAAAAGCGCATTTTAATTTCCACCAAACCTCCAAAAGAGTATCTGGCAGCGGTAGAGCCACCAAAAGATGTTATTCATCCGAAGGACGGGGCCTGGGGAGAGGACATCCCAGATTACAATGAACAAGTCGAGCAAGGTGCTGAAAAGGTTAGTTTTTTATCTAGTAAAGTTCAAGTTCCATAAGCAAAAGCTTGAAGCAGGCTTCTCCACCCGCGGCACCCGATGCAGATACAAACGATTCAGACGACGATGACTCTATAGGCAAGAAAACGGCCCCCGAGTACAAACGGATCATCACAATCCGTGCCGGAAAGCCAAAAGGAGTACCAATGAAAGAAGCTATGGCGGCAAAGGAAGACATAGTGAAACGCTTTAGCGTGAGCGAGCCTCAACTGGAGAAGATTTGCAAGAACCACCCCCTTACTGTGATCAAGTAAGCGTTTTATCGTTCAAGACTAGATCTTATTTTCCGAATGTGGTGTGCAGCTTTACCAGCCGGAACTTCTTACGAGTGTATCCGTATGGCCTTCGTTTTAACTCTTCAAACTATAATCCTTTCGTCGCGTGGTCGCACGGAGCTCAAATGGTGGCATTCAACATGCAGGTAGGCTCCTAGTCCTTCTTAAGGTGTTCTTCTTTAATTCCTTTCGTTTTTTATGGCCAGGGGTATGGTAGACCTCTGTGGATCGTGCATGGATTCTTTAAAGCAAATGGTCGCTGTGGATACGTGAAAAAGCCAGATATGTTTCTTCCAAATGAATCAGGAGGCCCGGTTTACGATCCTGCCAAAGCGGCAAGCGTCAGAACGAGGCTCAAGATCAAGATCTTCATGGGGCTTGGCTGGCTTGAAAAATTCGGCAAGAGACACTTCGACAACTTCTCCCCTCCGGATTTCTATGCAAGAGTAAGTCCCCCGTGCGAGAATCAAAGCTTTCAGCGACCATTTGTTTGTTTTCTCAGGTTGGAATCGCTGGCGTCCCTGCAGACCAGAAGATGCGACGAACCAAAGCGATCGAAGACGACTGGCATCCAAAGTGGGACGACGAATTCGAGTTCAAGCTCACATTCCCGGAGCTGGCTGTGCTACGTCTCGAAGTCCACGAGTATGACATGTCCGACAAGGACGATTTCGGGGGCCAGCTTTGTCTCCCGGTTTCGGAGCTCAAGACCGGCCTGAGGCACGTCACCCTGTGCGACAAGCGGGGCGACGAGCTCTCTGGAGTGAAGCTGCTGCTACAAATCACACGGAACGATTCTCCAGTGTGAGAATGAGAAGAGAATCGTGAGAAGGTCACTGGAGTGATGAGAAGGCAAGCATGGAGAAGAGAAACAAGAAAAGTGTGAATAAAACCTGGGTTTTGGTTGGTTTTTACAAAAATCTATGGAGAGAATGATCTAAGTGACAAGAATTCTACATAGCATTTATTAGATAATCAGAGAAATGACAGGCTAATCTTTTGTATTTTGTTTGTCAATCATAAGGTTTAATAATTGATTAGTATACACTATTTAAGCTGATTAATACCATTATTCATTCATTCAACCATGTTTCTAATAATAGTGATAATATCTTTCTCCATTTTTCATTTTGCAAATGCTCAGGTAAACTAGTGACTATTGTTTACAAATGCTAATGCAAAAATTTACAACTTTAGTGTACCTATACAATAAACATACAAACAGGCTGTGAACCAATGGCTGGGACTGATGCCAATGTAAATATTGCTATCACAACGTTTTCAGGCTTGACTCTACATTTTTACAACGTTGATGACCCGCATGTAGATAATTTTGAGAGGTGCAAGCTAGATTTATTTACTGTGCTTGGAGTATGTATACCAAAGGAGGATGCAATATGTAGGCTTTACATTGCCCATGATAATACCGGAAAACACCCAGAGTGGTATGTAGAATGGGTTGAGTTTGCTTCGATAAATGGTGGCTTTGGTAAAATCCATTTCAAAGTTAATTCGTGGTTGAAATATGAAAATACAGCTGCAGTTGTTGAACGATGTAACTTTTGATCACACAACTAAGGTTAAAATAAAGTTAATAAAGCTTAGCGTTCACGTTAACAACCAATCGCAAGGGAATCTTTGGTCAATTGGGTGCTGCTGCTGCTTCGAGGGAAGACGAAGAATGGGGAGGTATCTTTTTTCTCCTTCGTCTTATTTGTTCCTCATCGTGCCCATCGCGGCTCCTAGATAAAAATCGAGCTGGAAATTGGACAGACAATCCATGGCGAGTCCATCGCTCCATTTCGCCGATCCAGCGAGCAATTTGATGGGCAGTTTTGCTTCGTTTCGAGGACCTAAATGCAGGAGAAAAAGCTGCTTGAGAGCTATGGCGTCGTCGAGCTCCAAAAAACTCGAGGTAAAGTTCTTGAGATAGAGATAGAGTTCTCTGAGATGTAGAGTTTTGGGAGTTTTAGATTGTCTATGATCCGGTCGGGAGGTATGAAGAGCTCACCAGGGAGCTGCAAAGCTCGGGTGGTTTTGCTCGAAATCTTACATTGTTTTCGCCATCCAAGGTATGTATAGTTTTCCCAAAGTTTTCTTCCTGGATAGAGCTAAAGAACTTTATAACCAGATCAATGTTTTCTTGAGAATCACGAGCAAGAGACCTGATGGCTACCACGATTTAGCATCGCTCTTTCATGTAAGCTTCTGGTCTTTTTTTTTTCTTGTTCTAGTTTCTCAAGAAACTCTTCACTCAGGTGATTAGCCTGGGAGATACTTTAAAGTTTTCAGTCTCTCCTTCTAAAAAGAAAGACTCGCTTACAACAAATGTGTTTGGAATCCCACTCGACGACTCAAACTTGGTAAAACTATCCCTTCATTTGTTTCCAAGGATTTACTAAACGTTTTGTGTGATTCTCATGCAAGGTGATCAAAGCTCTAAATCTTTATAGAAAGAAAACTGGGAGTGACACATACTTCTGGGTAAGCTCTCAATAACTTTCCTCGATCAAAGCATTTAGTTTTTCTTCTTAAGGTTCACTTGGACAAAAGAGTTCCAAGCGGTGCTGGCCTTGGAGGTGGCAGTGGTAATGCCGCCACTGCTCTCTGGGCCGCAAACCAGATAAATGGAAACCTTGCTAGCGAAGCGGATCTACAAGAATGGTCTGCAGAGATCGGCTCTGATATTCCTTTCTTTTTCTCGCATGGAGCAGCCTTTTGCACTGGCCGTGGAGAGGTAAAATCACAAGTTTTATAGAAGTTTGATGAGATTTTTGCTGAAAAGTTTTAGCGTTTTCTCTTAGATTGTTAGAGACATTCCAGCTCCGTTGCCTTTGGACACTCCACTCGTGCTCATCAAGCCCAAGGAAGCGTGTCCTACTGCGGAAGTCTACAAGGTGCGATCAAGGATTTCTCTCATGAGATGGTGTTTACGAACTTTTTCGCTTTGCCAGCACTTTCGAATTGCCGACGCGAGCTCTGAGGATCCGGAGGAGCTACTGAGAAAGATCATTGAGAATGGAGTCTCGCAAGACGTTTGCATCAACGACCTTGGTATGGAAAATTCGGAAGCTAGCTAAGCTCGCTCACATCTTTTGTTTCTCTTTGAGTAGAAGCTCCAGCATTTCAAGTGCTACCATCTCTGAAGGCTCTCAAGCAGAGGATAATGGCAGCCAGCAGGGGCAAATACAAGTCCTTGTTCATGTCAGGAAGGTAAGGAAAAAAATCATATTTTTCTTGGCTTTCAATGAACAACACACTTTGTTTTTTCAGTGGTAGCACTCTGGTTGGCGTGGGAGACCCCGAGCCGCCACAATTTATATACGATGATGAGCAACATAGTGATACGTTTGTTTCAGGCAAGTGTGTTGAGTTCTCTCGGTGTGGATCATCACTTTTGCTTTGATCTTTGATCCACAGAAGCATATTTTGTGACAAGGAGAGATAACGAATGGTACCAGCAGCCACTCTCGCAACCCGAGGCAGTCACAGACAAGCATGACATCAATGAAGTTTACAATCAGCTCTTCACAGGATCTGATAAGTGAGGATCGAATTGATCCATTCCATCGTCGAAAGAAATCTATCATAGTATATCACTCAAGAGTGGACTCGTTAGAAATCACGCTACATTGGAAACGCTCAGATCAGCATAAGCTAGGAGCGAGCAAAAGAACTGATGGAAAGAGAGTTATAAACTAGGAAGAAAGAGATATCCCCTGTTTGAATAGATGCTATTAGGGTTTGCGAGATGAAGCGCAAGGCTTCCTTCAGTGACGCGGCGCAGGCGTCTTCGTCGTGCGGCGGCGAGGAGGCGATCGATGCGGCGGAATGCGTGTTGCCAGCGCTGCTCCCATTCAAGCGATCGCAGCTCCTGGAGCGCTACCCCAAGGGCAACACGCGAGGTAGGCACTGGAAGCACCTCAAGCAGATAATCCAGGCCGAGAATTTCCATCTGCTTCCGGCTGATGAGCCCAACTGTGAGTTCCCTGATTCCATGCCAGTGATCCTGTTTCTTTCTTTCGCTTGCAGATGTGAACGTCGAATCGCCTCCTTCCATGTACCCGTCCAAGAAATACTGCGACATCTCTGGATTTGAGGTAAGGTGCTGTCTCGCCATTTCTCCACTGAGTGATCTCCCCTCTTTCTTTTTCTCCTTCAAAGGCACCTTACACGGATCCACGAACAAAGCTCAGATATGCAAATGCCGATGTCTTCAAGCGCATCAGATGTCTTCCCGACGATTACGTTCAAGGCTACTTGGGTCTCAGGAATGCCACTGTAGTTCTCAAGTAAGCTCTCCTCGACTTATAGCACAAGCCTGGATATAGCACAGTTCGACGCTTGATAAGGTCCCGATACCGCTCAAAGTTATAGTATAAGCAACGAGAAAGGAAGGCTAGAACGAGCAGGAGTCTGGTTATCGAGAACTATCGGTTAGTATAGAATGGAAGAAACTCAAGGATAGAGTGTAGGACCGGAGTTAGCAACGAGGAAGAGCCACTATCAAGCCAGCCCCATGAAGCCCGAGTTTCACGCACTTGGCAGAGTTCTTGAGGGCATGAGCAAGAAGAAAAATTCCAACGATGGTGGCTGCTACAATCTGGCGCTTGCTGGGTGGTGGAGGATACAGGGGCCGTGGCTATGCTAAAAATGTGAGAAGCTTTTGCTTTCACTCGTCGCCGTCGTTTCCTAGTTATGTTCTACGGTCCGCGAAAAAGGTCCTTTTGCGTGTAAGGCCGAGAGGATGTTATCAAGTTCCTTCAGGGCCTGACGACGAACGATATGAACAAAATTGAGCAGGATTCTCCGGCGAGGCTGGAGAAGCTGGACAGATCGGGAACAGGCCCCGGGAGCGAGAAGTCGCCTTCAAAGCTCGCAGTCTGGCAATGGTTTGGAAGTGCTCTGGAGTGTGAAGGTGACAACGAGGGCTCTGTAGGGTGTGGGGCTGGACGTGATACTGCTGGGAATTCTTCTGCTCGTAGCAATGTCCAGGCTGGCGTTGGCATAAAGATCCCAGGACAGGATGTCTCGGCTTTCGAGGTGTCTTTTCGGACGTAAGTTTCATAGTGACGCTGATCTATAACAACAGTCACACGTTGTTTTTTTCTTTTCCAGCTCCACTGATTGAAGAGGTTGCCGAGGAGCAGTATTATCTTTTGTCGAGCTTGGAACAAGGAATTCCAGAAGGACCGGCTGTGGAGGTTTTCTCTACTGTGTTGAGTTTTTCTTAATCTAGTGATTGACAGGGGAGGCGATTCCTCTCGAATACAATCCGGAAGATCTGAACGCGATCGACTTCGACAATGGAGCGATAATTTTCTTGACAGGTGGCAAAGGTACGCTGAGCCGTGGACATTTTCTTACTTGTGCTCATTGCAGAAATCAGTGAGGCAGTGAGTCCTGGTGCTGAAATCGTCGACGCAGAATCGTCCACGAAGATGGATACTGTGACCATTGCACAGGGATTTGCTCTTGTCAGACTGAAAGCGGTGTCCAAACCACTAAGCATAGGTGGCGGCATGCAACGAAGGTCCTACCACACAAGTGGTTTTTGTCCGCGTTGATTTTCTAGTGAGCACGGCGGGGGGTGAATAGCGGCTAAAAATGGACGGGAAGCCTTTCGTTCTGGTCGTGGCCATCGTTTTGCTATGGTCTTCATCTCCAGCAGAATCGAAGGACTGCTCCAGAATTCAAAGGAGGACTTACAAATCTCCAGCTTTTTCTCTGGAGCCGGGAGATGTCCAAGACCGATACTACGAGCTCGAGTTTCCCAAAGGTCATATCGGCATCAAGAACTTCCAGGGAGAGGTTGTAGACGAGCTTGGGAATTCCGTGCCTCTGAGCGAAGTCTATCTGCATCACTGGGCGGTATATGGCCACTACATGAAGAGTTCCGAGAGAAAAGAGCTGGTAAGAGGCGGCTTCCATCATGGACGGGATTATCTAGGCTCGTCATCAGCTAAGACCGCTGGAAACGCTGGAATTTGTCAGGAGGACATCCTGTCGCAGTTCTGGGGTCTTGGTTCCGAGACGAGGCAGACGAGCTATTATATTCCAGGCTCCTATGCTATCGGCGTTGGCAATCCTCCGGAAGGCTACGAGGAGCTCTGGGTGCTCAACGTCCATGCCATCGACACCAGAGGAACGTATGATCCCCAAGGATGCCTCGAGTGCCGCTGCAGCTTATACAACGTAACGACAAAAATCTCGGGACAGCCTTTGAAGGAAGGCTACAAAGGCGGTTTCAGCTGCTGCTACGACGGGACTAAATGCGCAGTGAGGCCGGAATTTCAAGCATCAAAGAGGACTCTCTACATGCAGTACACCATTGAATGGGTGGAGTGGGACGAGTGTGTCCTGCCTGTTCGTGTTTACATATTCGACATCACAGACAGCAGGAAGCGTGATCCAGTCGACCGTGATGTTGGCTGCAACGTTCGTTTTTCCTGATTTTTCTTTTTGGCTTCTTACTATCGTCCTGCAGATCGAGTATGACGTTCCTGCTTGTGACCCGTCCTCGAATCCCGATTGCATTCATCAGCTGGAGAATCACCTGGTGATTCCCAAAGGAGGCAGCTTTATCTACGGAGTAGCGCATCAGCACGGTGGAGCCATGGGCATAACCATGCACGGAGAGGTACAGTAGACAAAACTCTCGTCTTTCTAACGATTTCACTGGCTTTTCCAGGATGGACGGCACTTGTGCTCCTCGATTCCTATATACGGGAATGGATCAGCTCCTGGCGACGAAGCTGGCTACGTTGTTGGGATGTCTACGTGCTCTCCTGAGCCAGGGACTGTGACGATCGCGAGCGGCGAGAAGCTCCACTTGTCTTCGTCTTATAGCTCCGCCCAGGAGCACACGGGTGTCATGGGGTACTTCTACCTCGTCGTGGGCGACGATGACACCGTGTCTCTGGGAGAATTCAAGGTATGTGTGGTGTTTACCTCAAGTTCTTTCAAGTTCTTAGATTGAGCGATTCGAAACTCCAGGACATGGAGTTAATGTAATGGCGGATCGTTGCTGTGGTGGGAGTTGGCGTCTGGATGAAGAAACGAGTGTCTCGTGGAGGATATAGTGCATTGCCATGATAAGATTATTTGTGGCTCATATCTGTCTATACATTTGGGGAAAAAAAGATGATCAAACTTCTGCACAGTTTGCGAGTATGTGTTCGAATATGAATGAAAGATCAAAAATTTCATGAGAACTATAAACTTCGTGGTTGTGCAGGTCAACTTTTTTAGTGTTTTTTTAGAGTTTTTTTAGAAGGAAGAAGAACCCCTTGAAAGAGCGGAGAAGTTTTGAGAGAGGTGCAATAAAACTTCTCCACTGCAGTCCCCCGCGGAGTCCAGTTTCATCTGATATATAACAACAGTTCTACATTTTTTCCGGTTTTTTTCTTTCAAGCGAGGTTGGAACAAGAACTGTGTTCGATTTTTCTTAATCTAGAGGCGATTCCGCTAATACAATCTGGAAGGTCTCGATTGTCTTCGACAAGATCGATCTTCTGGGACGCGAGATCTCGGATATGTCCCCACAAACCGCATGTGGGCCAAGAACTGGTCTATGGAAGCCGTGTGGTCTATTGCTCATAGGAAACACATTGAAGACAGCGACTCATGGTACGGAAATTGTCGCTGAATCGTTGGTGGAGACGAGGCACACGAGCTACTTTGTTCCAGGCTCCTATCCTCTACTTACTATTGCTTGTTTTTGTTTGTTTCTCAGCACCTTTGCATAGAATAGTGCTTTATGCAATACTTCAAACCTCTAACACATCCAACACCTCATCAAACATCCCAAGAGGGATTGTAATAAAAAACTCATCCTCTTTGTCATTGGCCTCTTGATTAACAAATCCCATGCCCAAGATCAAGGAGCTAATTGTTCTGATAAGATAAAAGTAGTGGAGAGATCAGCATACAAGGAGTGTATGTCTCAACTCTAGGTACATATACATAAAAACTATTGCCATGTCGGCATAACAACACCAATGAGATTTACAAGCTTGCTTACAAACTTGTGCTCCTAGATGATCGCAAGCCAAGAAGTGACTAAGGAGAAGAAAAAACAAAAAAAAAGAAGAAAGAGTATAAGGTCATAAGACTGTCCTCAAACAACAGAATTGGAAGAAAAATGGGGACCTTCAAGAATTGGGGAGCACTGAAATTCTTCTTTCAATCATTATTCAGTGCTATTGTTCCAATAGCTTGTGTCAATCTGTAGATCTGCACAACTGGAAGAAACCCTCTTCTAGAAGTTGCGACATTGTGACCAGGATGCAAGCAAGAGGAAACCTTATGGCACAATGTCATTTTGGCACCTACCAGCCAACACAAATTCCAACTTGATACAGACACCCTCCTTTGCAGCAATCCTTATTCTGCGTGCAAGGATCTCCTGTGTCTTGGCACTTCAGACTTGGATTGCTACCACCTTGAACTAGTTGAATAAAGTCCCCTCCAAAGACACGCGCAGACTCAATGCTAGCAACAAATGTGAACATGAGAACTGCCGCAACCACAAGAAGCTTGAAGACGCCCACGCCTGCAGCCATGATAAGAAGACTAACAGAGAGTGAATGAGAGGCTATGTGTGCAAGCAAGGATAGCGATGAATCCCGTTGTTAGAACATCGCCCTCAGTTGATTATAAAATTTCAGTACAGGTCAGCTGCAGTACAGAGAGAGAGATATGGGGTAGATAATGAGATCCGTTTGAATAGATGCTATTAGGGTTCGTGAGATGATTCCTTCAGTGACGCAGCGCAGGCGTCTTCATCGTGCGGCGAGGAGGCGATCGATGCAGCGGAATGCGTGCTCCCGGCGCTTCTTCCATTCATGCGATCGCAGCTCCTGGAGCGCTATCCCAAGGGCAACACGCGAGGTAGGCACTGAAAGCACCTCAAGCAGATCGTCTAGGCCGAGAATTTCCATCTCCTAGAGTTCCTGATTCCATACCAGTACCTCGTACATTGTTTAGCCTCGTACATTTGCAGATGTTAACATCGAATCGCCTCCTTCCATTTATCCTTCCAAGAAATACTGCGACGTCTCTGGATTTGAGGTAAGGTGCTGTCTCGCCATTTCTCCACCGTGGAATCTCCTCTCGTTATTTTCTCCTTGTAAAGGCACCTTACACGGATCCTCGAACAAAGCTCAGGTATGCAAATGCCGATGTCTTGAAGCGCATCAGGTGTCTTCCCGACGATTACGTTCAAGGCTACTTGGGTCTCTGTAGTTCTCAAGTAAACTCTCCTCCTCGACTTATAGCACAGTTTATAGAATGCTACTCGCGGGGAGTAACAGCAAAGTAAGGGCCGGGAAACTGGAAGGCTGGCGTTGACATAAAGATCCCAGGACAGGATGTCTCGGCTTTCGAGGTGTCTTTTCGGACGTAGGTTTCATAGTGACGCTGATCTATAACAACAGTCACACGTTGTTTTTTTCTTTTCCAGCTCCACTGATTGAAGAGGTTGCCGAGGAGCAGTATTATCTTTTGTCGAGGTTGGAGCAAGGAATTCCAGAAGGACCGGCTGTGGAGGTTTTCTCTACTGTGTTGAGTTTTTCTTAATCTAGTGATTGACAGGGGAGGCGATTCCTCTCGAATACAATCCGGAAGATCTGAACGCGATCGACTTCGACAATGGAGCGATAATTTTCTTGACAGGTGGCAAAGGTACGGTGAGTCGTGGACATTTTCTTACTTGTTTTCATTGCAGAAATCAGTGAGGCAGTGAGTCCTGGTGCTGAAATCGTCGACGCAGAATCGTCCAAGAAGATGGATACTGTGACCAATGTGCTCTTGTCAGACTGAAAACGGTGTCCAAACCACTAAGCATAGGTGGCGGCATGCAACGAAGGTCCTACCACACAAGTGGTTTTCGTCCGCGGTGATATTCTAGTGAGCACGGCGGGGGTGAATAGCGGCTAAAAAATGGACGGGAAGCCTTTCGTTCTGGTCGTGGCCATCGTTTTGCTATGGTCTTCATCTCCAGCAGAATCGAAGGATTGCTCCAGAATTCAAAGGAAGACTTACAAATCTCCAGCTTTTTCTCTGGAGCCGGGAGAGGTCCAAGACCGATACTACAAGATCGAGTTTCCCAAAGGTCATATTGGCGTCAAGAACTTTCAGGGAGAGATTGTAGATGAGCTTGGGAATCCCATGCCTCTGACCGAACTCTATCTGCATCACTGGGTGGTATTTGGCCTCTACCTGAAGAGCTCCGAGAGAAAAGAGCTGGTCAGAGGCGGTTTCCATGATCGTCTAGGCTCGCCATCCGCTATAATCACTGGAAACGATGGAATTTGTCAGCACAACGTCCATTCACAGTTCTGGGGTCTTGGTGCCGAGACAAGGCACACGAGCTACTTTGTTCCAGGATCCTATGCTATCGGCATTGGCAACCCTCCGGAAGGCTACGAGGAGCTCTTTGTGCTCAACCTCCATGCCATCGACGGCAGAGGAACATATGATCCCCAACTATGCCATGAGTGCCGCTGCAGCTTGTACAACGTAACAACAGAAATCTCGGGACAACCTTTGAAGGAAGGCTATAAAGGCGGTCTGCGTTGCTGCTACGAAGGGACCAAATGCGCAGTGAAGCCGGGATTTCAAGCACCAAAGAGGGTTCTCTACATGCAATATACTGTCGAATGGGTGGAGTGGGACGAGTGTGTCCTACCTGTTCGTGTTTATTTGTTCGACATCACAGACAGCAGGAAGCGAGATCCAGTCGACCCTCAAGTTGGCTGCCAAGTTCGTTTTTCCTCATTCTAAAAGTTTCTCTTATGTTTCTTACGATTGTCTTGCAGACCGAGTATGACGTTCCTGCTTGTGACCCGTCCTCAAATCCCGATTGTATTTATCAGCTGGAGAATCACCTGGTGATTCCAAAAGGGGGTAGCATTATCTACGGAGTAGCACATCAGCACGCTGCAGGCATGGGCATGAGCATGCACGGAGAGGTAAGAAGAAGTAAAAAAAAACTCTCATGACTGTCGATTTGTGTGGCTTTTCCAGGATGGTCGGCACTTGTGCTCTTCGATTCCTCTATACGGGAATGGATCAGCTCCTGGCAACGAAGATGGCTACGTTGTTGGAATGTCTACATGCATTCCCGAGCCAGGGACTCTAATGGTCGCGAGCGGTGAGAAGCTCCACTTCTCCTCATCGTATAGTTCTGCCCAGGAGCACACGGGGGTCATGGCGATCTTCTATCTCATGGTGAGCGACAATGACACTGTGTCTCTTGGAGAAGTCAAGGTACGTTTTTTACTTGTTTGTTAGATTGAGCAATTGCTTTTTTCTCCTCCAGGATGTAAAAAATAGAGTTAATGTGATGGCGGTCACGCTTGGGATCGTTGCAATGGTGGCATTGGTGGTCAGATTTAGCATTTGGAACAAGAAACGAGAGTCCCATAAAGGATACAATGCATTGCTTTAGGATTATTTGGGGATGGCCTGCTATGAAATATAATAAATATATATAAAGTTGGGAAAATAAAAAATGCATATTGGTGTTGTGACAATATATATATATGCTATGTAATACATTAATTATAGTAATATAGCATATACTTGAGATTAAATTCCATTCTTGTTTATAATAAAGGAATCCCATTATTTTGATATTCCAAATAGTGGAAGTAAAGAGCATTGCAATTTGTATCCAAGAGTGCAAAGTTTTTTGGTTGAAGGGCAATGTTTTTGGTAGTGCTTTACTTAGTGTTTAGGATTGTTCATAATTACTTTTGTTTTTGTTCCTTTGTTCTTTTTTAGATTTAGATTTGTGTTAACTTTTTGCCAGATCTAAGATTATAGTTATCAAATTTATTATTACCTTTTCAATTTTCATAGATTCTTTTTTTCTGCCATACCATGCTATCATTACTTAAGGCTATTGGTGTTGCTTTGTTGGATTTGGCTTTTGGTGTTGTGGGATATGATCATATTACCATCTCTAACTGATATGGAGTGTAATTGTGACATCAATTAAAACTATAATTTATACAATCTAGTTTTTGGAGAATGTAAAAAGATTGAGTTTATAAGAAATTGTGAAGTGGATTCTTTTTAATAAGGAATTTGATTACTTTAAAGATAACTTTAAAGATGAGTTAGAGATTTCATAGGGTCTTTTAATTTATCATTTGATCCTTTTTTTTTTCCTTATAATCTTCCCTAACCTTTTTCTTATTTCTTAGCTTAAGCCACTTTCTCATCTACAATTTTGTTTTTTTCTTACATATCAATATGATTTTCATTCTCAGTTTGATGTTAAGTTAAGTGTTTTTATCTTCCTCATACTAATTTATATGTTAACCATGTGTTTGAAGTTGAAAATCTTACTTTTATGTTATTAGTAGAATAGGTTCAAGGTAGTCTCACCTTCAGAAAATTTAGGTTTAACATGTCCAAATCATTACATCACTTTTCAATTGTCATAATTAGCTCATAAACATTGTCCATTTATGAGTTTCTTACTACTAAAATGCATAAATAAATTTATAAACTATGTCTAGTTTGTTAATCTACTAAGAAAGAAAACCTCTTTATCCTCACTAACTTGAGGCTTAAAATGTTTTTCAAAACAAGTGATATGGTTGCATTCTTTACCTCTAATTTAATCTTGTCAACTAAAATAAAAAGAACGATTGACTAGGAAATTACCTTTTCCAGGTTTTACTATGCTTTGAAAGTAGTGATACACAAGGAGGAAGAAATGTATTTCAATTGTATATAAATGGGTATATATATAGAAACTAGTACCACATGGGCATAACTATATACCATATCATCTTTAGTTGAAACACTTTTGCTCATGATCAAGTGGTTGATTCAAAGCTGAATCTAAATTTAAATCATGCCTAGCACACACACTTTTGCTCACTATTATGGTTTCAATCTTACCACTAGTATATGGTTTTGATAGTGAACTGTTAGGCTCCCACTTTTATTGCTACTAAGCACTTGAATCTTCATAAGCATCTTTCCAAATTGCTAGAAATTCCTGTAAAGAACTAGTTCTTAAATCTTGACCCAATTCTTGATGTGGATTGTTAAATCTCTTAAACTCACATTATGTAGTGTATATGGTTTTCACTTCATACCCTATAATAATTTACTGTAGAGCAAAATTTAACCCTTGGACATATGTGTGAAATGCAATAAAGTAAAATTTGAGTTTTAAAGCCTTGAGCCATTTAATGAATGGATAGAGCTAAATTCCCAATTATATAGCCAATGAATGAAAGAATATGAGCATTGAATAACTCCTAAGCTAAATAATAAAGGAACAAAATTACATAAAATAGCATTAAAATAATTCTAGAGTATTCAATATCCAAATGCCAAGACTAACACGCAAAATAGAGCTAAACAACAGCTAATGTTATTGTAGCATAACGTGAGGATATATGTACTCTATGAACTATTAGTTTTGAGTTTGGGATTAAATCCAAGCTAGACATAAAACAATGACAAACACACTTAACAAAGAGTTATATAATGTTTCAAATTGGTCATCCATACCTAATTTACTCATTCGTACTATACATTTAAAAACTTTTTATAAACCCCCGTTCAAATGAAAACATGTTTTGGGCTTTCACCCAAGTGTAAATTATATATTACTTTTGCCAATTTATCAATTTACCTCATCTATCCAACCATCTTTATCTTGACTTTTACTAAATTCCTTTACCAAGGTTCTTGTCTATTGTGTTAACTCGGACTTGGTCCTACTTAAGTTCAACTATTTACTACACAAATAATTGAGTGTTAACTAACTCTTCACAAGTTCCTAAATTTTTCCTATCCTCATTCTTGAGTAAAATTATATTTAAAGTTTGGCTATACTCCCTTTAAGCATAAGCAGCCAAACACATTAAACCTCCAAGTTTCTAACATCCTATGATACATAAAACTTGTTCATGGGACCTTTTAAATCTTAAGCCTTAAATATATCACTTAGCCTAAGACACTAAAGAGAAACACTATGGCTTAATGGCCTAGTATGGGTATCTCAACTCCCTACTTTCATCCTGAAGGGAAGGCCCAAGCTTCTAAGATGGGGTGAGGACCAATGAGCCACATAGTATTCAAATGGGGCATCACTTTACTTGAGTTGAGAGTATTGTAGTTGATTTCCCTTCTGGGAATAAGAGTTGCTTTTGAGCACTTTCTTGAAGAGCTTCTTTAACACTTTTTAAGTTTATGCTCACTCCACCTAAGACTACCCACCTTTAATTCTAACTTTAATTTAATTTGGAAGCACCACTAAAGAATTCTTTCAAGACTAAAGTTTTAACATCACTATCTTTGCTATACTTTTGAAACCCCCTACAACCCATTATCCTTACTATAATTTTGGAACCCTCTACAATGCCCCCTTCAAAGTGCTTTTGCAAATTCTTCATACGCATAATCTAGAGTGGGCAACTAACCTAGAGAGACAATAAAACTTCTCCATTACACTCAAGTTTCATTTGATCTATAACAATAGTTATACATTTTTTCTGGTTTCGAGCTTGATGATCAAGAGGAATAAAAAATTCCAGAAGGACCAGCAGAAATTTGTAGAGGTTTTCTCTCTTTCTTGCTTGATGTGTTCAATTTTTCTTAATCTAGAGGCAATTCCTCTAATACAAGGTCTCAATTTATACAGTCATATAGAGTGTGTACAACTTAAGGGTTATTTATCCAGTTGCAAGTGAGATGGGTTTGGCTTGTATAGCTATCCCACAGTGTATATTGTTAACATGAGGGTTCAAGAAAAAATGTCAAACTGCTTAAACCTAACCTGCTATGGCCCCACCCTATTGCTATTTTTTTATCACGTGTGATTACATTGTGTGATGATTTCCATATTTTTGTAGAAGAGAACTTTAGAAATCTCAATCTATCATAACCAGCTTTGGAGAGACTTTGAATACTTTAATGAAATTGCATAAATTAATAATGTACATCTTTAAACCCTTTATAATATATGTTTGGAATATATGCCTTAAAACCAAATAAAAGACCCAGTTTTTATCTCAACTTTCATAGATAGGAAGAGTTCTCCACAAGAGGATCAGTCACTAGTGACGTAGGCACTTGGAAAATGCCGGGCGAACGTGCTCGATGCCATTATCCAATTGATCTTCTGGGACCCGAGATCTTGAACTTGTCCCCGCAAACCGCATGTGGGCCAAGAGCTCGTAGCTAGCACACATCACCGTGTGCCCTATTGCTCATTGGAAGCACATTGGAAGATAGTGCCTGAATCGTCCAAGCACTGCACGGGGATGCGCTCTTGTAAGACTGAAAGCGGTGTCCAAACCGCATACAGGTGAAGGTCCTACAGCCCATCTGGTGAGTTGAGCACGGCGGGGGTGAATAGCAGCTAAAAAATGGACGGGAAGTTTTTGGTTCTGGTCGTGGCCATCGTTTTGCTATGGCCTTCATCTCCAGCAGAATCGAAGGATTGCTCCAGATCTTCCAGAATTCAGAAGAAGACTTACAAATCTCCAGCTTTTTCTATGGGGCCGGGAGAGGTCCAAAACCGAAACTACACGATCGAGTTTCCCAAAGGTCATATCGGCGTCAAGAACTTCCAGGGAGAGATTGTAGACGAGCTTGGGAATCCCGTGCCTCTGAGCGAAGTCTATTTGCATCACTGGGTGGTATTTGGCTTCCACCTGAAGAGCTCCGAGAGAAAAGAGCTGGTCAGAGGCGGCTTCCATGATCGTCTAGGGTCGTCAGCGGCTATAATCCCTGGAAACGATGGAATTTGTCAGCAAAACGTCCATCCACAGTTCTGGGGTCTTGGTGCCGAGACGAGACACACGAGCTACTTTGTTCCAGGCTCCTATGCTATCGGCGTTGGCAACCCTCCAGAAGGCTACAAGGAGCTTTGGCTGCTCAACGTCCATGCCATCGACACGAGAGGAACATATGATCCCCAAGGATGCCTCGAGTGCCGCTGCAGCTTGTACAACGTAACAATAGATGCCTCTGGACAGCCTTTGAAGCAAGGTTACAAAGGCGGTTTGCATTGCTGCTATGAAGGGACCAAATGTGCAATGAAACTGGGATTTCAAGCACCAAAGAAGACTCTTTACATGCAATACACCATCGAATGGGTGGAGTGGGACGAATGTGTCCGGCCTGTTCGTGCTTATATATTCGACATCACAGACAGCAGGAAGCGGGATCCAGTCGACCCTCAAGTTGGCTGCCAAGTTCGTTTTTCCTCATTCTAAAAGTTTCTCTTATGTTTCTTACGATTGTCTTGCAGGCCGAGTATGACGTTCCCGCTTGTGACCCGTCCTCAAATTCCGATTGTATTTATCAGCTGGAGAATCACCTGGTGATTCCAAAAGGGGGTAGCATTATCTATGGAGTAGGACATCAGCACGCTGCAGGCATGGGCATAAGCATGCACGGAGAGGTAAGAAGAAGTAAAAAAAACTCTCATGACGATGCGGCTTTTCCAGGATGGTCGGCACTTGTGCTCCTCGATTCCTCTATACGGGAATGGATCAGCTCCTGGCAACGAAGATGGCTACGTTGTTGGAATGTCTACATGCATTCCTAAGCCAGGGACTCTGATGGTCGCGAGCGGTGAGAAGCTCCACTTCTCCTCATCTTATAGTTCTGCCCAGGAGCACACGGGTGTCATGGGGATCTTCTATCTCATGGTGAGCGACAATGACACTGTGTCTCTAGGAGAAATCAAGGTACGTTTTTTACTTGTTTGTTAGATTGAGTGATTGCTTTCCTCCGCTGCAGGACGTGAAAAATAGAGTTAATGTGATGGTGGTCACGCTTGGAATCGTTGTGGTGCTTGCACTAGTGGTCGGATTTGGCATCTGGAACAAGAAACCAGAGTCCCATGAAAGATACAGTGCATTGCTCGTTTGAACTGGCCCGCTATGAAATATCTAATGAATATACTTTTTATATAAAAAGTGGGAGGCACATTTTTGCAGGACATTGTGCTTCTGACAGCCTAACTTAGAAAAGCTTTACTTACTAGCGGAAATAATCTTCTGGGCAACTTTGCAAAGATCATCCAAAGCACCAAAATTCGCAAATAAATTTATAAACCTTCACTAACCTGAGACTCGATATTCATCAAAACAAGTGACACAGTTGTTATTTTTTGCCTCCAATTCAATCTCGTCAAGTGGAATGGAAAGCGCAATCAAAGAAGAAAGTACCTTCTCCAGGTTCTGCCACTCACTTTTTCCTATAAGATTTACAAGCTCGCCTATAAACTTGTGCTCCTAGAAGATCACAGGCTAAAAAGCAACTAAGGAGAAGAAAAACTAAAAAAAAATAGTACTGTCCTCAGTGTAGATTTGCACAACTGGAAGAAATCCTTTTCTAAAAATTGCGACATTGTGACCAGGATGCAAGCGAGAAGGAAACCTTATGGCACAATGTCATGTTGGCACCTACCAGCCAACACAAATTCCAATTTGATACAGACACCCTCCTTCGCATCAATCCCCATTTCGCGTGTAAGGAGCTCCTGCGTTTTCGCACTTCAAAACTTGGATTGCTACCACCTTGAAGTAGTTGAATAAAGTGGTTGTATAACAACACTCCCCGTGCGCAGACTCAATGCTAGCCAGAAATGTGAACATGAGAATTGCCGCAACCACAAGAAGTTTGGAGACGCTAGCGCCCGCAGCCATGGATAAGAAAGTAGCAGGGAACAACACACCAATTTTGCGGATGATGGGAATGAGAAGGGGGAACTCCTGGATTTATACATCTCACATTCTAACATGTTCTCCATCTGTCGTTGCGATACATGGAAGGAGGTGATTCGATGTTAACATATGCAAATGGACGAGGCACTGGCATGGAATCAGAAACTCACAGGCTCATCAGCGAGAATCCTTCCAAGAAATACTGCGACATCTCTGGATTTGAGGTAAGCTGCTGTCTCGCCATTTCTCCACCGAGTAATCCCCTCTTTCGGTATTTTCTCCTTGTAAAGGCACCTTACACGGATCCTCGAACAAAGCTCAGGTATGCAAATGCCAATGTCTTGAAGCGCATCAGGTGTCTTCCCGACGATTACGTTCACGGCTACTTGGGTCTCTGTAGTTCTCAAGTAAACTCTCCTCCTCGACTTATAGCACATTTATAGAATGCTACTCGCGGGAATTCGGCAACTCGAGTAACAGCAGAGTCAAGGGTCGGGAAACTGGAAGGGTAGAACGAGCAGAAGTCCGGATATGAAGAGCTATAGAATACCACTCGCAAGAAACTCAAGGATAGAACAGTAGCGTGAAGGAAATGGAGAAGAGAAAGTTAGCAACGAGGAAGAAAGCCACTATCGAGCCAGCCCATGCATGAAGCCCGAGTGTCACGCACTTGGCGGAGTTCTTGAAGAAAAGAACCTAGGGTATAAGCAGAAAGAAAATTTCCAACGATGGCGGCTGCTACAGTGTGGCGCTTGCTGGGAGGTGGAGGATACAGGGGCCGTGGCTATGCTAAAAATGTGAGAAGCTTTTCCTTCCACTCGTCGCCGTCGTTTCCTTCTCGAGCGTCCGAGTTATCTTCCGGGGGTTCGACGCTGCTAGCCGAGAAAGGTCCTTTTGCGTGCAAGCTGAGCAGCCGAGCGGTCATTGGATTTGAAGGAGAGGATGTTATCAAGTTCCTCCAGGGCTTGACGACGAACAACATGAACAAGCTCGAGCAGGATTCTCCGACGAGGCTACCGCATCCCACTCTCAACCAGCCAGCGGTGGTGCAGCCTCCTCTCTACACGGCCATCTTGAATCCACAGGGAAGGTTTCTGTTTGACATGGTGGTTTTTAAGCCGGTGCAATCCACGGAGAAGTTGGACAGATCGGGAACGGGCCCCGGGAGCGAGAAGTCGGCTCCAAAGCTGGTAGCGGACGTTGATGCGGAGAGTGTCAGCGATTTGTTTGCACACCTGACGAGGTTTGTACCTTGTACTTTGTTCTTTTTTCTCCTTGTCTTTTTGACGAACTTTCACTTGTTTCAGGCACAAACTGCGTGCAAAAATTTCTTTCTCGGACATGTCAAAAGAGCTTGCAGTCTGGCAGAGGTTTGGAGGTGCTCTGGAGTGCGAAGGTGACAACGAGGGCTCTGTAGGGTGGGGTGCTGGGCGTGATGTTGCTGGGAATACTTCTGCCTCTAGCAATGTCCAAGGCTGGCGTTGGCATAAAGATCCCAGGACAGGATGTCTCGGCTTCCGAGGTATCTTTCCGGTGGAATCCACTCGTAAGTTTCATAGTGACGCTGATCTATAACAACAGTTACACGTTGTTTTTTTCTTTGGCAGCTCCATTGATTGATGCCGATCAAGAGGTTGACGAGCAGTATTATCTGTTGTGGAGGTTGGAACAAGGAATTCCAGAGGGACCGGCAGAAATTCGTGGAGGTTTTCTCTCTTTTTCGCTTGCTGTGTTCAGTTTTTCTTAAATCTAGTGATTGACAGGGGAGGCCATTCCTCTCGAGTACAATCTTGAAGGTCTGAACGCGATCGACTTCGACAAAGGTTGCTATGTGGGCCAGGAGCTTGTTGCTCGCACACACCACCGAGGAGTGATAAGAAAGCGCGTAATGCCGGTGATTTTTCTTGACAAGGATGGCAAAGGTGAGATGAGCCGTGTGGTTTAGAACTTCTTATTTGTGCTTTACGTGTCATTGCAGAAATCGGTGAGGCAGTGAGTCATGGTGCTGAAATCGTCGACGCAGAATCGTCCAAGAAGATGGGCACTGTAACAACGGCACTTGGCTCCCGGGGATTCGCTCTTGTGAGACTGGAAGCGGTTTCCAAACCGCTAAGCATCGGTGGCGGGATGGCAAGCATACAGGTGAAGGTCTTACGACCCAAGTGGTGGCTGCATCAATGGGACTGATCGGGATAAGTTTCTGGGAAACAAACAAAGAGGCAACGAACAGAAGTCTCGCTGAGGAAGCTTCCGAGCTTTGTCCTGATTTGCTATTTAGCGGATGGAGCAGGGTGGGGGTGAATAGCAACTAAAAATGGACGGGAAGCTTTTGGTTCTCGTCGTGCTCATCGCTTTGCTACGATCTTCATCTCCAGCAGAATCGAAGGACTGCTCCAGATCTTCCAGAATTCAGAAGAAGACTTACAAGTCTCCAGCCTTTGCTCTGGGACCGGGAGAGGTCCAAGACCGAAACTACGAGCTCGAGTTTCCCAAAGGTCATCTCGGTGTCAAGAACTTCCAGGGAGAGGTTGTAGACGAGCTTGGGAATCCCGTGCCTCTGAGCGACGTCTATCTGCATCACTGGGTAGTGTTTAGCCTCTATGTGAAGAGCTCCGAGAGAAAAGAGCTGGTAAGAGGCGGCTTCCATCATGGACAGGATCGTCTAGGCTCGCCATCGGCTATAATCGCTGGAAACGATGGAATTTGTCAGCACAACGTCCTGTCGCAGTTCTGGGGTCTTGGATCCGAGACGAGGCACACGAGCTACTTTGTTCCAGGCTCCTATGCTATCGGCGTTGGGAATCCTCCAGAAGGCTACGAGGAGCTCTGGGTGCTCAACGTCCATGCCATCGACACCAGAGGAACATATGATCCCCAAGGATGCCTCGAGTGCCGCTGCAGCTTGTACAACGTCACAACAGACGCCTCTGGACAGCCTTTGAAGCAGGGCTACAAAGGCGGTCTGCACTGCTGCTACGAGGGGACTAAATGCGCAGTGAAGCCGGGATTTCAAGCACCAAAGAAGACTCTTTACATGCAATACACCATCGAATGGGTGGAGTGGGACGAGTGTGTCCTGCCTGTTCGTGCTTATATATTCGACATCACAGACAGCAGGAAGCGGGATCCAATCGACCGTCACGTTGGCTGCAAGGTTCGTTTGTCCTGATTGTAAACTTTTTTGTTTTTATTTCTTACGATCGTTCTGCAGATCGAGTATGACGTTCCTGCTTGCGACCCGTCCTCGAATCCCGATTGTATTTATCAGCTGGAGAATCACCTGGTGATTCCGAAAGGGGGTAGCATTATCTACGGAGTAGCGCATCAGCACGCTGGAGCCATGGGCATGACCATGCATGGAGAGGTAAGAAAAAAAAAGTAGAAAAAACTCTCGTGAAACTTGCTAACGATTTTTGTGGCTTTCCAAGGATGGTCGGCACTTGTGCTCCTCGATTGCTCTATACGGGAATGGATCAACTCCTGGAAACGAAGCTGGCTACGTTGTTGGGATGTCTACGTGCTTCCCCGAGCCAGGGACTGTGACGGTCGCGAGCGGTGAGAAGCTCCACTTGTCCTCGTCTTATAGCTCCGCCCAGGAGCACACGGGTGTCATGGCGCTCTTTTATCTCATCTTGAGCGACGATGATACTGTGTCTCTGAGGCAATTCAAGGTACGTGTGGTAAACTTTTACTTGTTTCAAGTTCTTAGATTGAGCGATTGTTTTTCTCCGCTCTAGGACGTCAAAAACAGAGTTAATGTGATGGCGGTCACGCTTGCGATCGTTGCGGTGCTGGCGCTGGTGGTCGGATTTAGCATCTGGAAAAAGAAACGAGAGCCGCATGGAGGATACAGTGCATTGCTCTAGGATTATAATTTTCGTATCTCTCTCCTGCTTGGATTCATTTGAGAGAAAAATGTTGGTCTATGAAAAAATCTTTTCATGCTACACTTGTGCTCTTCTTTCTAGCACGGGATGATAGGATACACGCATTCTTCGGGAGTCAAAGTTAGAAAAAATTGGCGGTAGAACATTTCGATCTGAGCGCATCTGCCCTTCTCCCTTCGTTTCCCCTAGGAAGGAGAAACAAGCTGAGCCAACAAAAACAAAGCACTGAAGGTGGAGTGAATACCATCTAGATCGAAACAATCTTTTGTTTTTTTAAAGATATGTAAACTTAGAGGATGTTTGAAGCTATGGAAATATATGGACGCAAAATCATGGTGATTTTCTTATCTCTATCCTGCCTGAGAAAAAAATATTCTATGATCAACTTTGTGCACACTTTTTGGTCTTCGCGAGGAAATTGTTTACGTACTCCACTCTGGGAAAACCAAGAAGAGATAACTTTCACAAGAATATGTAATTTGCAGACCTTGCACGATTGTCTTCTTGGGGGCGATTAAACGCTGTCCAGATTGGATGTCCACTAAAGAGGCGCATCACCTGCATAGATTTCTAAGCTTCATGTTTGATCAAAGAGAATCTCAGTTACAGACCGTGATGAAATTGTTGGAATCCGGTGTGAATCGATGATACATCCCAGCCGGGAGAATGATCATGTCGCCCTTCTTGGTCCACACACGAATCCACCGATCGCTGCCATCTCTCACGTCAAAGTATCCTGAGATGGATCGAAAGAATCGTTAACAAAAACTGGATTATTTCCTCGAAAGAAAGAAAAATAGATACTACAGACCACTTCCTTCGAGACAGTATCTAATCTCCTCGTCCGTGTGGATGTGTTCCTCGTAGAAACTTTTGATCCGCTCCTCGTAGTTGGGAAGCTTTCCAGGCGCGATTGTGATGATATCCTGAGCACGAGCACAATTCGGATAAGAGCCAAACAAGGTTGTGGATGGATACATACATAGTAATCGTAGCCTCGCTCGTCTCGAATAGCCTTGAGCTCCGGGTCTGTCTCGTACAAATCCGCATTTAAGTGCCACTGCAGCACACCAAGATCTGGGCAAAACCAAACCAAATCCATCAAACAATTCCAGAAATTCACACTCACCATCGAGAATTTTTTTGGATACACGCTGCTGCTCTTGCGATTCATCGAGATACCACGCTTCAATTCCAGGCTAACCAAAAGACTACGATCAGGAGCTCAGCTCTAAAACCATCGCCATACCTCGTCGGCTCCCATTCTCTCCTCGTAAGAACAAACCCTCAGCACGATGTACACGTGGGCAGCCTGTAGCCTACCACGTGTGTAGTCCCTCAGTGAATATACCTAGCATATGCTAAGGTATGCTAGATATTCTTTTGCATTCTAGGGCTTTTGCTGTAGTGTAGGTCTCGCATTCAACTCCAAGAACAGGTCAAGCTCCATGGTCGACCGAAATCGTTCAAGCTTGCTCCAGGGTGTGATGCTGAGCGTGACAGAGCGATTTTGTTCTCTAGTGAGAACACTTTTTGGCATTAGATAGTCGTGAGCTCGTTGCAATGTGTCTTTAGCGACATGGTGTCTGAAATAGTCTGCAAGGTTCTGGGCTGGTTCTACAATCGAAGGGACTCTTTCCGGCGAGCAGTATACTCTTTCCGGCTCTTCCTCCTTGGTTTATGATGCAACTCGAATAAGCAAGCTAATGGTTAACATGGTTAATGGTATTTGTTATGATTGTTCGCTATCAACAGGTTCCTGATGGTTTTCGCTTTACAACTGATTATCATACGGAGTTCAGGGAGGATAGTGAAGACCGTGGACAGGTTGTACCGCACGGGCTGAAGGCAGAAGTTATATTTGAACAACTCTGCCACAGGCAACCTGGGAGGTACATAGAACAAGGTGTGTTTTTACACATGTATATTTTTACATATCTCATATGCACGCGAAACCGTTTGACGACGTCTACTATTTCACTCCAGGCAGGCGACCCCATCACGTGAAACATCCAAGCTTTTTGGATCTTACTTCAGTGATTCCGGACTGCAAAATTTACTTAGCATTCTCTTCAAACAGCTTCAAGGTTCGTAATATTTTTTTGCTGGTTATTTGTCTAATACACCCTCTTTTAGTATGGGCGAAAATATTTCAAGGCAACTAAAATAAAAAGATTCGATTTGTTATGCGATTTTATTTCAAATGAAAGAATCGACTATGCGACACTGGAGGAGTTAGTTTATGGACTTTCAAGTTTCAACGAGGAAAGTACTGATGGGCGACTACCACTTGTAGAAGCTTGTCGCTGTGGTAACAGCCAAGTTGTTGAACTCTTATTGAGAGAAGGGGCAAACAAAAACGTTGGAGGTATATAACATTGTTGCACATCGTTCTTACAGATGTTTTACACAATTTACTTTTCCAGATCGTAAGGGTATGATTCCATACATAGAGGCTGTCTGCAGCGGGAAACTGCGTCCAGAGATAATGCCACAACTTATGCCAAATGATGCCAAGAACTTAACGTGGATTATTGCGATGAACCCACAGGCCATAGCTCATTTCGCTCGGCAGGAGAAAAATTGGGTGTTGGAGGAAATAACGAAACTGAAGAGGACACTGGAAACGGTTTGCAACGACAAGTACAACGCTGATGAATTGGAAAACCTTCCAAAGTACGGTCACTTACTACAAGGCGTGACTACGATTTTCCAAGCGAATCGTTTACAAAAGAGTCCAAAAAGGGTCTTTTCAGGCGACACAAGTAGCAGGTCAATGGATTTTATCAAAAGTCCCGTAAGTTTATGAATTTCGAGTATTTTCGAGTTTGTGTGAGCACTAGACGATCTTTCAAGAATGCGTTGCTTCTGATGTCCATTACGAGCTGAGATGAGAGCAAACATTTAGAAGGACTGGCCCTGCAACCACTTTGGCGAGCTCGTGGGTTAGCATATCCTAGATATTCTTTTGCATTCTAGGATTTCTACTATGGAGCACACTCCCATCGGTGGCTACAAGGTATGGGATTCATTCGCGTCGGAGCTCCAACTCTTTCTTTCCATGCTCTACTCGCCCAATAACACCCCACTCTTCACGGATCCTTGCCCGCTGCATGTAGTTGCTGGAGCCACAAGCCGCGAAGAGGCATCTGCAAGACTGTATGCATCTCTTGTGAATTCGGTACAATACCTCTCTGATGAGTATCAAAAGATATTCCAAGTTGGTTTTAGAGTTCATCTTAGCCATTTCCAAGGCGCAGTAGTTATGTATGAAGATGTGGATGGCACCGATACTCAACGAAGGCATCCTTTTTCGGCAATGCCGGAGAAGGGTATCTTTTGGTAGAGTTCGATCGCGTGCTCCAGGTGGGGATTGATGGTGGCAGCAATGTTGTGCGCAAAGTGTTTGATCGGGCAGCTGGTTATATCTATCACGGTGGTGGATGTGGAAGAACTCGATCTGGATATGCATGTGTAACCAGCCTCGCAATCATTCTTTTGCAAGCTGACCCATGACGATGTTCTCCTGATTTCTGATGCGTTCTTTACTCATGGTGGACACCCAACATTTCTCGACACTCTCTTCTTCTTGATTGTTAAAGCGTCCTCCCACAGTGCATGGAGAAGAACCATGTCCATCAGATTAGACGAGTACAAGGAATAAAAAACATTTTGTAGAGCTTCGGATGCAGACGATAAAGATCTGCAGGTCATTGAATTTCAAGTTTAAAGACATCGAGGACTTTGTCATGCCCCAACTTCCGGAGCTGGACTTTTTGCGTGACATAAGGCACCTCATGCATAGCGGAGGGAAGGTCTCAGTGTTTCGGGGGGATTTGGGATTATGGAGGAAGGCTATTATGCTCTATTTCGTTAAAGTGGGATTTATTCAGTAAAATGGGACTAGGTACAAATTTTTAAGTATTTGAAAATGATGTGAAATTATATGTTTTTTGTCCAGGGGCTAGACATATCTGGGGCATGGTGACTAGCGCGGTGACTTTGTGTCCAGACTGAGTCCATCTGGTTGTATAATAAATCTCATTGTCAAGGTGAACAAGCCGAATCTGAAGCTAAAGAAGAGCGATGGCATGCTCGCACACACTATTTGTTTGTTCATTGAGCGTGTGGTGAGCTTTCCAAGATGAATGTCATTCCTATTAGCCAGACATATCATTTAATGGTGAGAACATTTAGATATTATTCAATGTTATCTTTTTCTAACAAATCTAATTGTGAAGGTGTAGCAAGAGGCATTGCTAGTCTGGAGAAGTCATTTAACTCATTTGACTCTTAGTGTATTTTCATGAAACTAAATAACATTTATATTATTAAGGAATTTCTCTAGTACCTTTTTTTTACTACATAGAGGCTTGCATTTCTTTCAAAGGTGATTTAGTAAAAGGCCTGAGGGCACATGCCATTCTATTTCTCAGACCGGTATTAAGATATACTAGTGCAAAGGGAAAAAGGTATTTGGTGATCAAGTAAATGGCATGAGGGCACATGCCATTATAAGCCTAAGCGCTAGTGGACACCTCCTTTTTGGTGTCACGCCTCACGCCATCACGCCATGCCATCACGCCTCCTCTGATTCAGATTCGGATTGTTCACCTTGAAATAAAATACATTAGAAACTTAGTAAAGGAATATTAATGAATCTCACCTTGAACCCAGGTTATGAATGCTCTTGCTGCATCTCTTGCATGGTCTGGCAAGGTGATGGTGGCACTTTGCTTCCGCATCCAACCATGCACAACATTATCCATAGATATGCTCATGCTGGGATCCCTTGGATTTAGCACCCATCTCTTTTCTAGGCAATCCTTCGTATATCCGGAACTTGGCTTGAACCACTCCACAGTTACATTGAAGGAGTTAGTTTCCGCGTCCTCCTCTGCATCAGTGATGCAGCGCCCCACCCATATCATTTGTTTTTTATTACTGGGTCTGACAAGCACGACCATTCCTTTGCAAACCTGTACTGGATTGAATGCTGAATCCGGCTTCTTGTTCCTCGGCCCACAATAGTGATCCTCAACATCGTTATCTGTCATTGCATTTCCAGAGGACATTGTTCCGCTACTATCTGGTGCTCTGGGTTCTGGCCAAAAGGACTCTTCCAATTCTTCATATACAACCGGCCCATTTTGGATAGCAGATATAATCTTCTCCCAGTATTCGAGCAAAGGCTTGCACCTCTTAAAATAGGATTCTCCACCAAACACCAACCCCCTCTTCCACAAGGCAATATACTGTCTAATCCCGGCCACTATACTTTCCTGGTCTTTGAGTCCATCCGGGTGTATCGGCCGTGGGGAACCCTGAGGAATCATAGGTTCCCCAGTTATGGGATCTCTCTTGAAGAGTTCAATGCCGTCCACTGGCAGCCACACTGTGTCCCATTCTCTCATCTTGTACCTCATCACTGGAGCACCGTCACACATGCTGAAATGAAACTGAAGAGGCTTGGAGTGGCCAATCAACGTTTCGGATCCGTCCCTGATGTAGCCTCTTACAAACCCCTTAAAGTCTGGAACCTCTGTCACAAGTGCAGCTTCAACAGTGCCTTTGATGCAATTTTGGAATTCATCATAGAGTTGTGGGAGGGTGAGGACATTGGATCGCCGGAGGGACTCTGCCAGGTGACTGAACATGGCATCGACGTCTTCATGAGTGTGCCCAACCATGAGAAAGCCAAGTGTAACCGTTTCAAATATGCCTTTGGCAACAAGCATCGCCAAGTACGCGAAGACGTACATGTTTTTGTTCTCACTGCCAGCATTGTCTGTTTGGAGCAGAAGATGGGGTGGAAGGCCACATCGGCCGCAAGAACTTCCTTGAGATTCTGCTTCGTTTGGATGAGGCTGTGCATTCACCGGGCGACCAGCCTCGTCGGAATGGCATGAGGCCTCACGTGATAACCCTACAATCTGACGGCCAATATATTCACTGGGATGGCATGGAGCCCCATGCAATACTGCAAGCCTTTGCTCCTCCTCCAGCTGAACCCTGTATGGGGTTCGATCGACAAGGGCCTTATGCAAGGGTTGGCCGTTCAGCTCAGTCTGCGCACTTTGCAAAGACCTTAAGTGTTTTGCTAGGGACGCAATCATCATGTTTGCACCCTCGCCACCCCATAGAGGTACAAAGAAGTTCCCATAGTTCTGGGCACCATGCCCATGAGCGATTATGCCAAACAGAGACACAGGCAGCTGCATGGATGAAGAGATTGCCTTGGGGGCAGGATTGAGTCGAGGTAAGCACGTCTTTTTCTGGTCCATTTTGTCGTGGATGATGCAGAGGTAAGAGTCAGGTCTCTCCATGGAGAGAATCCTGTTATGATAATATGCAGTCCTGCAGCTTCTCTGCTCGATGTTGTGGTCGAGCCGCCTTCTAACCAACATCTCTCGCTCTTGACCGATGCAAGAATTCTTCGACAAAGCCATTTTGATAGCAGTGCACTCGTCACACTTTGAAAAGCTGGAGTACTTTCCTATACTCATATCCCTGAACCTGTTGCTCCACAATTTACTAAATCTAGATTGGCTCAGCTTCTTGTAGCCATTACTCTGGAGTTCCCGATTCACATCTTCCAATATGGCCCCCTTGGTATACATGGAAGGGAGAACTCGTTGGGTGTCTCGAGTTCCATCTTCCAAGAGGCGGGTTTTATGTGGTTGCTGCTCGCTACATATCTCGACAAACCTCTTGAAGATTGCCTCTCCATATACAACATGACCCCTGGTTTTGTGCGTACCGTCGTTCCCATGGACTGCCTGTTGAACCCTTTATTCCTCGAACTCAGTTTTGATTCTGTAGAATGTGCTTCGAGGGACTCCATAAATGATTCTCCATGCCTTCATGCAGACCAAACCCCTCTGGAAGACCATGCCCCCCACCTGATGTTCTGAAGCATCAACAGATGACCGTAATGCCTCATACACAAAATTGTGAGCTGCCTTCCAGGACAATGTCTTGTATCTTGCTCTCTCCTCTTCAATAGCATCCCAATCAGCATGTTGACAGCACCTCCTCTTGCAACAAGCAACTGTCGAGACCATTCGAACCTCCATCGCCATTTTCTGCCTTTTCGGTTCGTTACTCAGATCCCTTTGGCTGCGCTTTAGGAAGGTGTACTTTCTTTTCCCATGAAGAGATGTTCTGTCATCAGTTGTAGTGGTGTTTGATTGTGAATCCTTCACATTCTCAAACACTAAGTGCCTCAATTTCCACCGCACAATGCTTCCAATAGTCAGACTGTTTTCTTTTGTGTCAACAACCTCTAAAATCGCAACTCCAATATCATCCCAGCCCAATTCTTGATTAGCAACCGCATCTCTTGGATCGACAACTGTGGCTAAGCCCTTAGCTACCACCTCCCCGTCGGGGTTGTTTAGAAACACCTTTGCCTGAATCCATGTAGCACGGTTCTTAAGATCCACGGAGGGAACATGCATCGCACTTGCGGAGGCCATTCTAAAAGTGCAGAAAAGAAGTTAAGACCATACAAAAAATGTGGAGAATGGCCTAAATCATAACATACCAAACAACCTCAATAGCATGAGGCCACATGCCATTATTCAAACATGCTATTGACACCCATGTGAAATTTCGCATTCACAAAATTGGCATGAGCCCTCATGCCATTAGTGGTACCACTAATGGCATGAGGCCTCACAAAAATGGCATGAGGCCTCATGCCATCTTGATATACACACAGCTGCAGGCAAGTAAAAACATACATGACAATACGCTAGCCATGAAATTGCAAGGGCCCAAGATGGCATGTGGCCTCATGCCATTTCTAAATGTGGTCCTAAGCCATT